GGGGAGGGTCAGAGGGAGAAGCAGACTCCCCGCTGAGCAGGGCGCCTGATGCGGGACTCGATCCAGGGACTCCAGGATCATGACCTGAGCCGAAGGCAGTCGCTTAACCAACTGAGCCACTCAGGCGCCCCCAAGCCTACAATTCTTGACCCTTTCTGATGAGACTCCAGAGATCTGAAGTCTCACATTCAAGGTCAAATCTTCTTTTAAGTTTTTTGTGAAGCTGTAATATTCATGAGCTATTCCATGGCCACCCAGACTTTTTATTAAAGCACATGAGAGAAGATCCTGAGTCAAGGATAGCTTCTACTTACAAAATCCCTCTTATAACCAGCAAAGAACATGACAGAAAATGTTAAGGAACAATTCTCCAACTCTGTCTTGACAACAAAAGTTATCTGTACAAAGTTATTAGTTAACAGAATTCAAATAATTAAAAACATAGGGTAGTATGTTTATTTATTTATGAGCTCTAGCACATCCTATTTGACAACCTGAATATCTTAATGGATATCTTGACAAACCAATACCTTAATATGAGCAATTATAATTATAAATAACGTAAAAAAAAAAAAACTAGTTTTTTTCATATAGACAAAAATAAACACTTGTTTCTTTTACACTGTAATTCAATAAAAATGAGTCATCATGTTCAAAAAAGGCCACAGAAATGTTCTTTTGTTAAGACAGGGGAATGACATTACCATGCACATGTAGCTGAAGGTGCTGCTGGGTTTCTCCAGCTGCATTGGTCGCCACACATGTGTATCTGCCGGCATCTTCCATCAGGGCTTTGGCAATTTGTAAAACTCGACCAGAAGACTGTATCTAATTGGGAGCAGAAAGCATGGCAGCATTTTGTACTTTACACTGGGACTTGAAAGCATTTGCTGAGATAGCCAAACTCATTTAAATTTATGCTATTTAATTATAGTTTTATGCCAATATCTTAATTATCTCTTGATAGATTAGAACCAGATCTCACTTCATCACACACAAAAAAGACTGATTTGATTGAAAAACTTTTCTTCTTCATTGGAAAACACAAAATAAAATAACCTAAGGCCTGCTGGTACAGTCATAAAACCTCGCTGAACAAAAGACTTTAGCACTGAACGATGAGGTATGTGATGAAAATTTAAGCTATTTAAAAAAAATACAGTCACATTTATGTAACACTTCATAAATACTTTTAAGGCAACAATCTTTTTTGATTAAATGGTCATGGGGGCCAGAAAAACAATAAAAATTATAAAATATGAGTAATGGAAATGCAGATAAATTTCTTCCTGTTTTTCCTCATTTCTCTGTTAAACCTACTGCAACTAGCCTCCACCATTTTGGAACTAGTGATTCAGTGGTTATTCTTTGAAACTTATCATTCAGAGGTTATCAGTAACTTCTCTTTTTTTTTCTTTTTTAATTTTATTTTATTATGTTAGTCACCATACATCATTAATTTTTGATGTAGTGATCCACGATTCATTGTTTTCATATAACACCCAGTGCTCCATGCAGTATTAAGGAGGTTATCAGTAACTTCTAATCACAATATCCAGCAGCTTACATAGTAAGCTCATATTCTCTTTTACCATCTACAGCATTTGGCATTACTGACCACCTACTCCTGAATCACTCTACTCTCTGGGTGTTGAAGATACAAAAATGTCCTCAGTTCTCAATCTCTGACTTTCTTAGGAGATTACAGAACCTGCTTCTTCCTCCTGTCCCATAAACATAAAGTTCAGCTTTCTGATAGTTTTCATGGCTTCAGCGAAGAATTCTGTGCAGACTCTGAAATTTACAGTATTGGCCTCAATTTCTCTCCTGAGCTTCACGCTTGCTGTTCCAGCTAATCTGCTGGATGGGTTAGCACATGAAATTTAACACATCCAAAACAAAGCTTATAACTGTTTCCTTGTATCTCCAGACCTACTTTTCATTGCATGTTTCCAATCTTGTTTAATGGCACTACTATTCTCCAAGGCATCTTGATTTCAGAGCCCACTCTGACTCTCCTACTAGTTATACAACTCTGTTTTTCAGATCTCTACTTTCCATTCTCACAACCACTGTGGGATTATAATAGTTTCTTAATTTATATTCCAGTGTCTCCAACCTCCCAAACTGTTAATCTATCTTATATACCGTTGCCAGAATAATTTGTCTAAAATGCAAATTTGATCCTTTTACCAGTCCCCCTTCAAAGCTCACTCAGCTCCCCACTTTGCCCAGAATGAAATCTGAACTCAGCATAGCCCTCCAGGCTTACCACATTCTGACCCCAAATGATCTGCTCTCCATACACTCCCAAGTAAACTCCCACTTGACTTATTCTTCAGCCAGAGTGTACTAAACTCACTAAGCAGCATATTCATACATTAAATTCACTTCTAGACTTCTGCACATGGCCTTTAAATGCCATAATTTTTTAAGACTCCAAACGAGGTCAGTTCTCTCTTCTATTTTTTCATACTCTTTACTCTCCCCTTAGATTATCTCATTCATGTCTATGCTTTCAAATATCATCTATGTGTCAGTATCTCCAGCCAGAACTCTCCTTTGAGCTCCAGGAGCATATATTCCATGGTCTACCTGATCTCCACTTTATTTCAAAGTCAATTTAACCTCCCAAAATATAAAACTTACATCCAGTTTTTTGCTCCTAAATGGGTTGTCCTCCAAAGTCTCCTGTCTTACTGGATGGCATCATAAGATATGCATCTGTGTAGGTTAGATTCCCCAAGTTTTCCTTGATATTTCCTGCTCCCTCAACTTTCATATGCAATTTATCACTGAGTCCTAATGATTGACACAATAATTCTCAAATACATCCATATATCCTCATCTTCATGGCCAGAATGTGAGTTCAAATTTCAATCTTCTCTCTCTCCTAGATGAATAAGTCCTAATTGATTTCCACACATCTACTCTTTATCTTTTTCAATTTATTTTTGGAGGTACAATTGGCATATATTATATTAGTTTCAAGTGTACAACATAATAATTCAATTTCTGTACACACTGCAAAGTGATCATCACAAGTCTAGTCTTCATACGAAGTTACAGATTTTTTTCTTGTGATGAGAACATTTAAGATTTACTCTCCTGTTAACTTTCAAGTATGCAATACAATATTATTGAGTACAGTCACTATGTTGTATTTACATCACCATGACTTATTTACTTAATATCTGGGAGTTTGTACCTCTTGACCACCTTCACCTATTTTGCACACTTCTCAACCCCCTTCACCTCTGGCAACCACCAAACTGTTCTATGTGTATCTATGAGTTTTGTTTCTTTTATTTTTTAGATTCCATATATAATTGAAATCACATGGTATTTATCTTTCTCTGTCTGACTTATATCAATTAGCATAATGCCCTTAAAGTCTATCCATGTTGTCACAAATGGCAAGACTTCATTCTTCTTTTTTATAATTGAATAGTATTCCATTGTGTGTGTGTGTGTGTGTGTGTGTGTGTATCACATCTTCTTTATCCATTCATCTACTGATGAACACTTTAGTTGTTTCCATGTCCTGACTATTATAAATAATGCTGTAGTGAGCATGTGGGTGCATATATCTTTTCGAGTTAGGGTTTTCATATTCTTTGGATAAATACCCAGAAATGGAATTGCTGAATCATATGGTGGCTCTGATTTTTATTTTTTGAGGCATCTCCATACTGTTTTCCATAGTGGTTGCAATAGGGTACATTCCCACCAACAATGCACAAGGGTTCCCTTTTCTCACATCCTCAACAATGCTTATTTCTTGTCTTTTTGATAATAGCCTTAAACAGGTGTGATGTGATACCTTATGGTTTGATATGCATATCCCTGATAATTACTGATGTTAAACATTTTTCCATGTGCCTGTTGGACATATACATGACTTTGGAAAATGTCTAGTTATATCTTGTGCCCATTTTTTAATCAGATTGCTTGTTTTTTTGCTATTGAGTTGAGCTCTTTATATACTTTGGGTATTAACTGTTATCGGATATATGATTTACAATTTTTCCCTCATTTAATTTATATTTCAGTGCCTCCAACCATACAGAAGCTTTTTGGATTGATGTAGTCCCGCTTGTTTATTTTTGCCTTTGTTGCCTTTGATTTGGGAGTCAGATCTAAAAATTCAATGCCAGGACTATGTCAGGAAGCTTACTACCTATGTTTTCTTCTAGGAGTTTTGTGCTTTCAGGTTCTACATTCAAGTCTTTAATCCATTTGGAGCTGATTTTTGTGTATGGTTTAAGATAGCATTCTGGTTTCATTCTTTTGCATGTGACTGTCCAATATTTCCAACATCATTTATTGAAGAGAACATCCTTTCCTCATTGTATATTCTTGACTTCTTTGTCATAAATTAACCAACCATATATGTGTTGGTTTATTTCTTGGCTCTCTGTTCTGTTCCATTGATCCATGTGTTGGTTTTTATGCCAATACCAAACTGTTTTTGATGACTACAGCTTTGTAGTATAGTTTGAAAACAGCATGATGCCTCCAGATTTGTTTTTCTTTCTCAAGATCACTTTGGCTACTTGGGGTCTTTTGTGGTTCCATACAAATTTTAGGATTGTTTGTTCCATTTCTGTGTAAAATGCCATTGGAATTTTGATAGGAATTGCATTGAACCTATAGATTGCTTTGGGTAGTAGGAACATTATAACAAGATTAATTCTTCCAATCCATGGGCATGGGATACCTTTCCATTTATTTGTGTCTTCAATTTCTTTCATCACTGTCTTATATCTTCTAGTGCACAGGACTTTCACTTCCTTTCACCTCCTTGGTTAAATTTCTTTTTATTCTTTTTTATGCAATTTTAAATGGGACTGTTTTCTTAATTTCTCTCTCTGATAGTTTGTTAGTGTATAGAAATGAAACCAATTTTTGTATATCGATTTTGTACCCTGCAACTTTGCTGACTTCATTTATTGGTTCTAACACTTTTTTGGTGAAGTCTATAGGATTTTTTAATATATATTTTTCAATTTGGATGCCTTTTATTTCTTTTTCTTGCCTAGTTGCTCTTGATAGGACTTCCAATACTATGTTCAATAAAAGTGGTGAGAGTGGGAACACTTGTCTTGCACTTGATCTTAGAGAAAAAACTTTCAGCTTTTCACCACTGAATATGATGTTAGCTGTGGGTTTGTCATATATGACCTTAATTATGTTGAGGTATGTTTCCTCTATATCCACTTTGTTGAGGGTTTTTACCATAAATGGATGTTGACTTTTGTCAAATGCTTTTTCCATTGAGACGATCATATAATTTTTATCTTTCATTTCATTAATGTGGTGTATTACGTTGGTTGATTTGTGATGTTGAAACATGCTTACATCCCTGGAGTAAATTCCACTTAATCATGGTGGATGACCATTTTAATGTTGATAGCAACTTAAGTTTGGATGCATTCTAAAATTCTACATTTTTACTCCCCCACAATGTTTTATGTTTTTGATGTCACATTTTACATTCTTTTATTTTGTGTTTCCCTTAACTGTTTATTGTGGTTATAGTTAATTTTACTACTTTTGATTTTTATCTTCATACTGGCTTTATAAGTAATGAACCCACTACCTTTACTATATATTTACCTTTACTAGTGACATTTTTACTTTCATATATTTTCTTGTTACTAGTTAGTGCCCTTTTTTTTTTTCAGCTTAAAGAAGTCCCTTTAACATTTCTTGTAGGGCCAGTTTAGTGATGAATTCTTCTACCTTTTGTTTGTCTAAAAATCTCTTTATTCTCCTTCAATTCTGAATAATAACCTTGCTGGGTAGTGTATTCTTGGTTGGAAGTTTTATTTTCCTTTCAGCACTTCAAATATATCATGCCACTTCTTCTGGCTTTCAAGATTTCTGCTGAAAAATCAGCTGACAGTCTTATGGGAGCGGGCTTCCCTTGCACCTAACAAGTGGCTTTTCTCTTGCTGCTTTTAAGATTTTCTTCTTATCTTTAACTTTTTATATTTTAATTATAATGTCTCTTCCTGTGGATCTCTTTGGGTTCATCTTATTTAGAATTCTCTATGCTTCCTGGACCTGGATGTCTGTTTCCTTCCCCAGTTTAGGAAGGTTTCCACCCATTATTTCTTGAAATGTGTTTTCTGCCCCTTTCTCTCTCTCTTCCCCTTCTGGAATCCATATAATATGAAAGCTATTCCACTTCATGTTGCCTCATAGGTCCCTTAAGCTATCTTCATTTTTTAAAAATTCTTTTTTCTTTTTGCTGTTCTGTTTGGGTGAATTCCACTGCTGTCTTCCAGGTTACTGATCTGTCTTTCTGCTTCATCTAATCAGCTGTTGAACACCATAGTGTATTTTTCAGTTTAATTATTGTATTCTTCAGCTCTGTGACTTCTGTTTGGTACCTTCTTATATTTTCTATCTTTTGTTGGAGTTTTCACTGTGTTCATCCATTCTTTTCCTGAGTTTAGTGAGCATCTTTATGACCATTACTTTGAACTCTTTATCAGGTAGATTACTTATTTCCATTTCATGAAGGCCGTTTTCTGAGGTTTTGTTCTGTTCTTCCATTTGAAACATACTCCTCTATTTCCTCATTTTGCTTGAGTTTCTGTTTGTTTCTAAGTATTAGGCAAAATAGCTATCTTCCCAGTCTTACAGGCGTGGCCTTGTGTAGATTAACCTCATCGTTCAACCCTGCCCTAGCTCTTGGTTATCTCTCAGACCTTGTGACTGCCTCAGTTAGCCTGATTTATTCTTGATAGATCCCAGTTATTAAGGGTATTCCAAGACCTATCAGTGTTCCAAAGAGAGGGATCTCAGTCAGCACCTGGTTTCAGGCTGACTAGAAGCCAGATCCTTAGGCAGCAGTTTTAAAGTACACAACGATATACAGTCCCACAGGACTGCAGTTGTAAGCCCTGGTGGCCTTCAACCAGGGGATCTGGAGGTGTCCCCTGGGTGACAGCTGCAAAAATCAAGGCTTCAGGTGTGTGTATATGCTCCTTGCTGGGAGGCACCAGGAGCTACAGCAAGGCCAAGGGAGAACACAAAGGTGGTATCTCCCTGCCTATGTTCCCCGAGAGTGCCTTCATAGCCTCTACGTGTGTGGCAAACCTGAAGCCTGTCCCTCATGTTGAAGCTCCAGGACCAGTGGGTGGGCCTTTTTCACCAGCAGACCAGGAGTGTATTCCAGTTCACTGTGTGCAATGCCTTGGGTGTGGTAGCCTGCCAAGAATGGCTTTTCTGATTATTGTTATAGTCCCATAGGGCCCTGGAACACAAGCCCCTCTGACCACTGGGTCCAGGCATTCAAGGGGTGTCCTTTGTGTGGACTGGGCTTGCCCTTCAGCCTTAATGGGGCAGTGGGAGAACTTGGGGTGGGGCATGCCTGCAGCTTTAGCAAGGCAGGTGAAGAGTGCTCGGGGACAGAGCACCCCCCACCCCACCTCCACTTCAGCAAGGCAGTGGGAGATTGCTGTGTCTGCACACACCTGCTTTTACTAGCAAGCTGGAGGGAGAGTGCAAAACTGGTGCCTGATAGCAGCTCTGTCCCTGGAGAAAGTCCCTACAGGTCCTTGTCCTTCCGGCAGATGCTTTAAAATTAGCAAATGAATCTCCTTCACATATAGTTTAGTTTAGGCACTTTTCAAATTTTTGCATTAGGCCCCAGGGCAAGTAAGTCTGAATGTGAGTCATTTAAAAGAAGTATCTCAAATCCCTACAGTCCTTTGGGTCTCTTGGATGTAAGCTTCATTGGTTTTCAAAGCCAGACATTTTATGGCTTGTCTCTTCAGTACAGGTCCCAAGGGTTGGAATGCCCAATGTAGGGCACAAATCCCATACTCCTCAGGGAGAAGCTGCAGACTTGTGAGATCCCTCCCTATTGTGAGTTGGTATGCTATGGTTTTGGCAAGATTGTGTCTCTGCCTCTCCTACCCATCTTGATGTTGCCCTTTTATCCTTTGTTGTAGAGGAGCTGTTCAGCTAGTTTTCAAATCTTTTTCAGAGGGAACTGTTCTGTATGTGGCAGTAGATTTGGTGTGTCTGTGGGGGGAGGTGAGTTCAGGATCTTCCTATACTACTGTTTTGGACCACCTCTGCCCACATATCTATTTTAAACTCCTTCAATTCATTATCTTATAGGGGCCAGTAATTATTTAAAATGAAAATCTGATTATGCCACTACTCTCTTAAAACTCTTCAAAGATCTCCCTTTGATTGAAAGTAAAAATGAAATCACTAATATTACTTAAATGCCTTCTACTCCCTGGTCTCCTCTAATACCACCTCATCTTGCTTTGTGTTCTTCAGTCTACTGGCTTGCTATCAGGTCCTCAGGAGGTGTCATGCGCCTTTACTTTAAGTTGTTGGCACACACATCTTCTCTGAAATACTCTACTCTGTTCTCTTCCATTAATTTACTCATTTAACTCCTATGTATTCTTCATATCTCTGCTCAAAGGCTTTCTCTATGAATTACCTAATGCCTAAAACCTTTCCACATTATCTGTTCTTATACTTCTCCATATTTTCTCTTAAGGTTACTCATTACAGTTTACAATTAAACTTTTATATGATTATGTGATAAATGCCTATCTCCCTGAAGTATGTTTTAAGGCTTCATAATGAACCTCTCACTAGCATAAATGTATAAGATTAGTTCCATTGGATTTGGAATAGGAATAATAAATGAGCAGATACCGATCATTTGTACTGGGAAAAGAACTCAATACACCCTTCATTACTGAAAACTTAATACAAGCAAAGTTCAAGCCCACATTAGTCAACTAACTTGATCCTAGTAAAAAAATCTATTGATTCAGATTTTTAAATGAATCATTTAGATTATCTAAGTTTGAAATCTATCTATCTATCTATCCAGAAATATGTAATGAGGTACATTTATATGGCAGGGATTATACTCAGATTGAAGGATATAGAAGTGAATTTATTCAGACTGGGTCTCTGCCATCTTGAAGCTTATAACTAGATAAAATATTTTTTTCAAGATTTATTGCACTTAGGTTTATGTAGATATGATTTTACCTTAATCTTAGTCTATGGTATATTGGGGATACTGTGAGTCAGTAATGATGAACACAGTTCATTCATCCATGAGACACCAGTTTTTCAATAGTTAAAACAGGCATAAACTGAAATAATAAAAATACCAACCAATATGTTAAAATTATCATTGTTAAGGTTATTAGTCTTTAATTAATTCTATTCTTCAAATCAAAATATTAAGATAAATTCCAAAAACTCCAAGGAAAACACATATTATTTTGATAAATTTTCTGTAAAATCTGTCCAACAGGAAAATCTACAATTAGGAAAGAAGAACACGATAGCTCTGGGAAGATCAAAGTAGATTTCACATTTGGGGCTCAGCAATATTTATACTTACTTTAAGGTTTCCTCGGGCAGTATTTACAGGTTGGCCATCTTTTAACCATGTAATAGATGGATTTGGAATGCCATTGGCAATGCACTGCAAGGTGATAGGCTTGTGCTTCACTATGGCTCTCTCAGAAAGGCCTGAGGATTTGATTGTTGGAGGAACTAGATTTAAGAAAGGAAGGAAGGAAGGAAAGCAGGAAGGGATGGAAAGACAGAGTAAGGGAGGGAGGGAACACAAACCATAATCAGTGGGGTCAAGTACTTAAAAATCTGGATGTAAGAACCTGAAACTTTAAAATTTAGAAAAGGGAAAATTCCTATTTTAAGAAACAATGAAATAATTTTATCCCATGCATTTAATTTATAGTTTTCAGCAATTTTAGATGACTTATTTCTTAAGTATGGATCTCTAGTTCTCCAAAGAATAAAATGTGTTTATAGCAGCAACTACAATCCACATGTATGTTTGGCTTACACCTGTTGGTATGTTTTCCCAATCTATTATGATCCTCCCTTTCTCCAGAACAATCTCGTTAAATCAGGGTGGGTTTTCTCTACCTGTATTTATACTGCATGACTCTGACCCCAGCAAGGCTGACTGAATACAGAATGGGAACTTGATTTAAGCTGGGCCTGCCAGATTCCCTCCCTCAGGAGTTGGAATTGAGACTGAGAAACAGGGTTAGCTACATTTCATCACAGGATTGAAAAAGCAGGGGGAAAAAAGTCTGCATGGACAGATGGAAAAATGTTGATGTTCATAGAAACCTCCACTAGAGCTTCTAAATGGCTCCCCAGATTCTCACTGCAGTCCCTCACTTCCCAAGGTTGGCAGGCAAGTGAGACAAATAATACCCTGGCCAAGGGTTGTCTCTGTCATTACACTAAAGGTTCTGATTCTTCTGTGCTAGTTCTGTGAATACCTCTATCTACCCTGGATCCTGCATAACATCCGTAGCCTCCATTTCTGGAAATGACTTTATTCACACTCCCTCCTGTTCTGGTTAAACCCTGAAGAGCTGACACAACGTCTTTACTTGGAATTTGCTGCCTGCCTATTCTATCTTATTTGGTCTTATTCCTCAGGCCCTGGCATTCTATGTAGAATACACTTCCTAACATCTGAAGTGTTTATATTAATTTACATAGGCCTCTTGGTTAAGTCTCTGTGTTAGTAAAGTGCCTTAAGATTAATCTGCCATTTTTTAACTCAAATTCACATCCTTTATATTACTTTCCACAACTCAAGATTTATCCAGATTACTGAGCTACCATCTGAATTAAATAATGACACAATGCATAAATTAATTTTAAATATAATGCTCATGTCCCTTCTTCAGCATACCATGAACAGTAACTTCAAATTCCTTCTCGTGGTCACCAGCAATGTTTGTTGCCACACAGCGATAAAGGCCTGTATCTGACACTTGAGCTTGGGCAATAACCAATTTGCGTCCATTTAGTAAAATCTTGAATCCATCCCTTTCATCAGTTAGCTGGCCATCCTTTAGCCACCTATAGAAACAAGGCAAAAAGAAGTCTGGAGATGTATTTTTAAATAACTTAGTTCCTAAAAGATATGTGCGTGTGTATATATATCTTAGAGGAACTAGATTTATCTATATGTTAAATGTTTCTACACATACATACATATGTAAATTCTCAATTGCGTATTTGCCTAATTCCCTATTTGCCCATTCTGTAAAATGAACTATAATGGGGAAAAGAAAAAAGTAAACCTGGCCCAACACAGAAGTTGGCACAGTGTTGGAACCCCAGTAGCTATGCGGTTTCTGCATTCTTCTCTTTACGTTGAGGAAACAAAGAGGCAAGTGCCCCTAAATAGTATTCACTTCAAATGTTTAAATAACATTAACCAGCAAAGTGAATACATTCCTAAAATATCTGAAAAATAAAACCCTGATACAGCATTATATTTTTTCATTTCTTTTGAGTTATCATTTTCCATTTTACTTTGTAATCATATGTGAACATATTTTATTCTCTTAGTTGACTGACTGTTCCTTTGCATATCCTGCACCTTGGAAATGAAGGTTAAGTATTCACGAAATGCTTTGTGAATGAAGGAATGAGAAAAAAGAGTTGGTAAACATATATGCACGGTAATTATTTCTCTAATATGTCCAGTACATTTCTTTTTATTTAGTCATTCATTAAACATTTCAGTGCCTCAAGAAGATCTGACAGATACTGCTTAGTAGTCTGTCTCTATGAACTGAAAATGTCATTTCTAGGAGCATAAATGGAATTACTCTAATTGAACAGATTTGAGGTCCGTGTGATTATTAAGCAAAAGTTGCCTTGTATATAGAGTATGTCTTTTAAAAGAGGAACATAAATAATATAATTTTATATGGCCACCTTTTAATGACAGAGAAATTTTTTCAAGATAGCCTTAAAACACTCAAATAAAGAAGTGGGAGGTATTTAGAAGACATACCAAAACCCTTACATGATAGTTGGCGTGGGAGAGCCCGTCACTTGGCAATCTAGCTCCAGTAAGTTATTAACCATCACAATGAAGTACGATGTTTCATCTCCTCCTTCTATAGCTGGTGGCACTAGAAAACAACAGAGATGTAACATACAAAGAAATGTACACCAGAAAAAATACACCACCATTTTAAGCAATACTAAGTTGCAGTTCAGAAGGCTGACAAGTATCATAGAAATTTGATACATGAAGGGGATTTGAAATGTAAAATATATTTTATCATACACACTTGCTAGGATCAATGAACGTATTTTTGACATGCTGTGGATTTTTCTCAATTAATCGAGCACTCTGGTGCTGCTGATGCCATCTGAATGTAAAGTTGGTTCATATTTTATGTTGCTTATTTTCATAATAATAAGAGAAGGGAACCTCAAAAATTGGACCTCTGCTCAAAAAGCCTTCAATTTATAGAGAAATAGAGACCAAAAACATTGCAAGATGACTTTCCAAGGCCCAGAGACTGTTTCCTACATTAGACATAGCATAGTGCTCATGACAGAGGACCATGATATCACTCACTGCAATCCGATATTGTCATAGATGTAAAATGCATCAATGCACTTACAAATACAAAGTGTACCTATCAAGATCAGTGCAAGATTTATGTGGGTTCTTAGATCTTGGGACTCTGGTAATAAATCCACCACTTAGTAATGTGCAGTCCAGAGTTGAACAGATAACTGAACCTTCTCTAAAACTGTTTTATTGTTCTATGACCAAAAAAGCATTTCATAAAATGGTCAGGTTGTGCTATGAATCTGGAATCCAGATGGTGGCATCCTTATTTACCTAAGACATCAACTTCGTATTTGATTTCCTTTTCTCCAGCCACACTCGTAGCCACACATACATACTGTCCCCGATCAACTTCTAGGGCACTCATGATTTCTAGTTTCTTCCCACCAGCTTCCGTACGGATGTTGTCACTGGCTTTCATAGGTACACCATCTTTTAACCAGGTGAGAACTGGAGGAGGGTTGCCAGTAGCTTTACACTCTAGTGTCAGCGAATGAGCGATAACCACTTGCTTATTCAGAGGTACGGCCAAGTCACCTTCAATCACTGGAGGAACTAGGCAGAAAAAAGTAATATTTCAGGCATCTTTGAAATTCTAATGAAATAAGGATTTTGTTTTCACGTAGCCTGACCACAGAAACTACCTACATGTCTGTCTCTCTCTAAGCTATTCAGGAAAGAATTTCTTGGGTTAGCTGATCCGCAGCTATCCTAAATATTGTGGGATACTTTGTACTGTGTCTCATTTATAAAGGGTAAATAGTAGAGAATGATCTTAGTCCTAACAACTACTTTACCTTCTTCATAAAAACCGAATGGTCTAGATGCCCCATGTGAAATGGGCAAATGGTTGGGCAGATGAATGGACCACTTTTACTAACTGTAGCTTTTAAAAATGTTTTTTTAAATCACAGGGCAATTCTGCCAGTTCCTATCCATGCATTTTGAAAATGATCAAACCCACCAGGAATTTATTAGTGAATGAATTAGATGTCGGCATATTAAAAAGCATAGACAGAAAGGTATGTGATTAAAGCACGTATTTTTTCCTTACCATAGACGTCCACATGAAATGACTTTTCAGCAGTTCCAGCAACATTGGTTGCATGACATGTATATGTTCCTGAATCAGAAACCTGTGCTCGAGGGATATGAAGAAATTGTCCTTTATTAATATAAAGTGCTTGTGAGCTGGATATGACTGGTTGGCCATCCTTATACCAAGTAATAGCAGGCATCGGCAGTCCCCGTGTTTCACATTCCAGCTTAATTATGCTGTTGATCAATGCTGTTACTTTTGTGGTGACATTCCCTCCTTTAATGGTAGGTGGAACTATAAAGGATTTCAGAACAGAAACAAGTTTTCTAAGCTTTAGCATCTGCATCAAATTCTTAAATGTTGTAGAAGTTTAAATAATGCATTTAAAGTATTTAGAAGGGGCGCCTGGGTGGCTCAGTCATTAAGTGTCTGCCTTTGGCTCAGGTCATGATCCCAGGGTCCTGGGATGGAGCCCTACATTGGGCTCCCTGCTCAGCGGGGAGCCTGCTTCTCCCTCTCCCACTCCCCCTGCTTGTGTTCCCTCTCTCGCTGTCTCTCTGTCAAATAAATAAATAAAACCTTTAAAAAATATATTTTAAAAAATAAAGGATTTAGGAATTAAAGACAATTAGGAAGTCTATGATTTATCTACTGATAATAAATTGCCTGTCTTTTTAATCTTTATCACCCTCCTCTTGGGTTTCAGATTTCAGTAAAAGCAAACAGTCACAGTTTCAGTTTCAGGGGTTCATTTAAGTCCAACAGATCATATTACAGTAACTAAGAAAGTTATGTTTAACAAACAAAGCAAAACAAAATAAAACCCCACTTAAAGTAGATAGAATACATTTGACATCAGGCCAAGGGAACAAAAATGTCAGATGTGGTACGACTGCATGCCCTCTCCCCGCAAAATACTAAAGGTCTAAGCGTCTTCAGAACCAGCTACTGGGGGGCGCCTGGGTGGCTCAGTCATTAAGCGTTTGCCTTCATCTCAGGTCATGATCCCAGGGTACTGGGATCGAGCCCCACATTGGGCTCCCTGCTCGCCTGGAAGCCTGCTTCTCCCTCTTCCACTCCCCCTGCTTGTATTCCCTCTCGCTGTCTCTCTCTCTGTCAAAAAAAAAAAAAAAGAACCAGCTACTGGAAATAGCCGTGGAAGCTTTAACTTCTGCTTCTTACCGGTTTTTGTTTCGTTGTTGTTGGGTTTTTTGGGGTTTTTGTTTGTTTGTTTGTTTATTTGTTTTAGCTGCCAAGAGTTCATTCACTCAACTTTACTCATCTAATTGGCTACATGTGTATCTTCCATAATTCAGCAACCACATTCCTGGCCACTCACACCACATGAGAACTCTGTTGTTGGAAAAACAACTCAAGTGGCTCAATCCCCGCTACATCTTTTGACTGTGGTCATTCCAGGATTGCGCTATAAATGCAACAAGTTAAAAGAAATCAAATGGCATGTGCCTGAATTGGGAGTGCCTTAATATTATTTTATTAAACTTTTATTTTAGAATAGGATATGTTATAGAATGTTTTTCTTATGGCTGGAGTAGGATTATTTGTTTTAGGAGGAAGATCCCAGAGGTAAAATAACTTTCTCATCAGATCATATCAAAGGTACAAATTATCAGCATGACATCATGATCATGTTAACCTCAATAATCTGGTTACAGTAGCTTTTGCTAGGTTTCTCCACTGTAAAGTTGCTCTCCTTTTCCCCTTTTTTTGGGAAAGGAATCACTCTTTCCAGCCCATACGTACGGGGTGTGGAGTTATGTTCGACTTCTTGAGAGAAGAATACCTACATAATCTATTTGGAATTATTCTCTATAATTTTGTTTCTCCTCCCCAATTTGTTCACTTATTTAACAATTTATTTTTATCAGTATGAATTCATGGAAACTTATTTTATACTTTGGGTTATAATCTAATACTATAGTATTCAAATTGTTCCAGTTTTGACCACTGGAAGCTATTTCATTTGGTTCCTATGTTTCTCTGACATATCCATGTCATTTTACTATTTTGATACTTTCTTACTTTCTGGCTCACTACATGCTGCAGGCTCATCTTATATATTCCCTGCCACAGCCTTAGAATTAACCATTTCCCTAGGAAAGCTCTGTCTTCTTTTAGTGGAAAAGGATTTTAGAAAACAAGAGCTGGGTGCTGAATAGAGTACCTTAATATTTTCTAATAATCATTCTTAGAACCAGCTCACAGTGACAAACATTCACCTACACATTTTTTTGTCACACATAATTTAAGGAAAGATCTACTACACTGTGAGGTAAACGTGGTGGTAGAGTAATTTTCTTATCAAGTGGTTTAATATATAGCTCAGGGAAACCAACTATGGTTCACAGGCCAGGCATGGAGATGCTGAGTTAAGAATAGTTTTTACATCTTTAAATGGGTGGAAAAAAATCAAAATAATACTAACAATATTTTGTGACATGTAAAAATTATATGAAATTCAAACTTGGGTGTCCATAAAATTTTATTGGGATATAGTCACACCCATTTGTTTACATATTGTCTATGGTTACTTTCTCTAATAACTGAATTAGGTAGTTACAAAAAATAGCAAATACATATTCTCATTGCTTCTCACTGCTGCTCAGCTCACCATAAATTTAAGTGACATAGTTATAACTCAATATCATTTCAAGTTGCCATGCATATCACCATACCATGATATTTTATTTTTATTATCAGTGAGTACCTCTCACATCAAAACAAGAAAAGAAAAGAAGACTTTAAAATTCACATTTTTAAAGCACAACACAGTGTGGATTATTTTGTTATAAATCAAATGGCAAAGCATTGGTTTTTTTTTTTTAAATAATTCTATAGCTGTTCTGAAAGATTACAATATACACTAATACTACTAGACTAAGCACTTGTCACATTACTTCCAATTCAAAACAACAGTTGGAAAAATTAGAAAATGTAAAATGGACTGACTCATAACAGAACTTCTTCACAAAAATAAAAAGTCAAAATGAGGCTACAATCAAAATAAGTTTCTCAGTGGTCATATGTTCGCCAAGCGAGAAAAGCCTTTTACCAACAGTAATTTAATTAAAATCAGGGATGATTAGTCAGTAGTCACAGAAATGTGTCCAGAGAAATCTTAAATCTTTGTTTAAGATTATGAGCCTTTCCATGAGAACAATTGCTTGAAGAGTAGGGAACGCTGGGAGCAACATTAATAGTTAATTTTTAAAGGCAGCTTTTCTGAATAGTATTCTTGGCCCCTGACAAATTAACAGATGTTACTGATACTGCTTTTTGTTTGAGGAATCAATGCCAAATTTGAAGAAACTGAAGAATTAGCCTCTAAGAATAGTCTGCATGGAACGACTAGAGACAAAAATATTTTCAAAGAAGTTAAAAAACAAAACAAAACAAAAAACACGAATTCATTACAACCTGAAGTGGAATCTGCTAAGATACAGTGCAAGTGATGGTGGTAAAAATATATGTGGGGCAGGAAAAGGCTTAGACAAATTCACAAAGCCTATTAAAATGTAAGGTTTTAAAAGTCTATATTCCTTGCACTATTTATCAGCAAGCCCTCCGTGTAAAGTATTCATATGTTAACAACCAGAAGTGTCCATGGTATCTTTTATCTGCCCTTATGGACTTGAAAATCATCAGTTCCATGAATTTTTGCTACATGTAGAAACTGAGTATAAAGACTTGTCCTACCATAGAGCAGTTCAGTGCCTTAATGGTGGTAAAGTTAAATTTTAATTTTTTGAGCTCAGGGCTGAGACTATTTTTTCTGAATGAAAAGAATTGTCCTCAAACACTATTACTGAATACCACTGAGTGATTTTGGAAACTAGTTTTGCTATAAACATGATAATGTTTCTTAATGAATTCAACCTAAAATTACCAGACCAAACAGCACTTAAATGCAAAACTTATACTATGGTAGTCATTTTGTTTGAATCACAATTAATATCAAACTGCTTTATAAATTTCCCATGCTGTCAAACAAAATTGAGATCTCCATTCCCTACAGATTTGCTGTGGATATATTTTCTGAGCTCAAATTTCAGTTTCAGCAATGTTTGTCAGACCTTGATACAAATACAAAGGAAATTTCTACATTCGAAGTTCAGTTATCTCTGAGAATGAGGACCTTCCATCCAACTTTCAATTGGAAATGTTTAATCTGTGGCATGGCATGCTAAAAGTCAGTTTATCAAAAGAATATAAGGGAATTCTATAAATGCTTTCTAAGCAGTGAATATGGTCAATTAAAATAACATGTTCACAAACTGATATTGGTATTTGACAGTACACATCTGCATGAAAAGACATTTTCCAAGATGAAATACATAAGATCTCATTATAGATCAGCATTAACAGATGAACATTTGCATTCAATTTTGGTGAGAGGGATCACTAACTTTGACCTTCAATTAATTAAAATTTTATCCCCCCCAAAAGAATTTCATTCTTCTTATTAGATTTGTAATTATAAAAAAAATTATAATTTTTAAAATTACTAGAAAAAAGAATTTCATCAATAGACAATTGGTAGAAATTTATTTCTACTTTGATATATAAGTACCTACATAATACCCTTGATTTTGTCTCATGGTCTGCAAAATCCAAAATATTTACTATCTTGCCCTTTATAAAAAAAGGTTTGCCAAGTCCAAGATAAGTAATTAATACAAATTCAAGCTACCATTTTGAAATCTTAAGGAAGAGCATTTAATTCAGATTTAAAATTTTAATTTTGTTTTAAGGCTATTTATGCCATATGTTAATCTATAAATGCATATCAAACTTCTGGTTCAAATTGCCTAAATCAGCTGGCAATTAGATGATACATTAATGACAGCAAGAACATAGGTTCAAATAAGTCCCTATTCTTCATGAATGTTTTACAAAGGCATATCATTTGCACTGAAAAGAAGCTATTTAAAAATTTTGCATTTATGAATTTGACAAAAATTACTCAAAGAACATTTCTGATTGACATCTACTGCTTAATTTGCCAATAAATAAATGTCACTTCCTATTTCAGTTTAATTCATAGATACTTTTCTGAGACTTTACTTCTATTTGAGGGACATTGTTACAGATAAAGGTTATGAACACACTGCACATTAATATGCACCGCACATATATACTCAAAGACTTCTGTACACTCTGGGGAGGCTCTCAGACTTCCTAAACTCAAACACAAACCTCACGTTAAAAATCTTTGCCTCAGAACTAATAGCTGTCAGTTTACACGATCTCCCCATAGGATATTAAAAGCTCTT